CAATAAATTAAATAACTTAAATTAGAGTAGAAATAATTAAATGAACAAATAGAAAAATAAAAATTAGAAAATTAAAAATTAAAACAATAAATAGAGCAATATTAATAATAGCAATCAGGTTAATTTTTAATAATTTCAATAAAAAGAGAAACAATAGTGTTCTAAAATAGGAAATTAGCCCACGCAGTTTTAATAAAATATAGACTCTTAATAAAAAAAAGTGTCATTTTAATTTATCAAAGACAAATGTATTATAGTGGAAAGAAGGCTCGATAAAATGGAAAATATTCTTATTCGTATGTTTTCTGCGAGCCAAGCATTCCATTAAATCAAAATGTAAGAATTGCATTTCGAATTACAACATATTATGGCATTGAATTAGGAATTGGTTCTAAGGATTAATCTGGATAATTGAATGCAAATAAGAGATATATGATTAATTTATATATAAATGGTTACAAAGGTCATTATGGAGATAGTATTTTACTTGACATAAGAAAAAGGAGAAAAAATTAATATTTAAAAACCTCACATCATCATATTAATAAATAAATAAATAACATAATAATATAGGAAATGTCAATTGACACTTCGGAAGTTTTATATCCTTGTGTTCATTTATTGAAAGGCGATTCCATTGAAATTATAGATGATTATTGAATAAGACTATTTGAATATTTTTGATAAAATAATATATTGGGTTACGTTTAGTTCTATTTGACTTTTAATTAATTTTTTATAGTTTTTCTATACCTTAATATTTGATTAAAAACTAGATATATCAAAGTAATATTTAAAATTTGTATTATCAAAATTATTAAATAATAATAGTAAATTAATAGAACTCAGTAAGATTAATAATAATAATTACTACAAGAATAATCAATAAATTTAAATAGATATATTTTTTATATTATACAATTTTTTTTTCATTGATAATATAAAAAATGCCTTCTAATAAAATAATCTCAAAAAATAACAAAATTAAAGAAAGAATACTTAGGCGAAGGAGAGAGGAAGAACAGAATGTAGCCTGGTTTCTGCTTAGGATACTTTTTAAAAAGCATCCAACCTTGGGAGGGAAAAATGTATGAGTATAAGGTAACTTACTTGTCAGTGAGCTTTTTGGCAAACTGTGTGTCAAGGTAGAGGGTTGTTATTTGCAACTGGAGTATAAGTCGAGACCCTTGTACAACACATGAGATGGACAAGAAGCTCAGGAGACATGATCCAAAAATGGACAAACAGGAGCCTTCCTTTAGATAATTCGCGAATGAGGAATCCAAGAAGCAGGCTGCTAGCCATCATCGTGTCTTTTTCGCGAGAAGGAGAAGGAAAATGAAAATGATTGATGAGACCTATCTTTACATTATTATTATTATTATTTCTAATGATATTTAGAAAATCGTATGTCCTTAAATTGTGAAAAGTTTGCAACTAGGAATATAATAATTTATTTTTCTTTCTTCTTTCTTTTGAAAAATATTTAAAGATAGAAATTAAGAAAAAATTTCTATTAATTGAGCAATGGATTGATGAGAATCAAGGGCTTCTTGATGAGAAGAAAGAAAATGAATTTACTGAATAAACCAACGCAAACAATAAATTTAATTAGGAAAGATAAGCATTTTGAAATCTATTTAAAATAATAAAAAGAAATATCATACAGTATTCATTTTATAACTTAGAAAAGTAAAATATTTATTTGGATAAGATAATTAAATTATAAAGCTTCTTAAGAATTATTTAAATTAAGAGAAAATAATGCTAATTTATATAGGAAAATACAAGCAAATGTGAGTGCTTACTATAATTATAATCGAATCTATTTCTAGAGATAAGGTTACATATAAGAGCTATAATTTTATAATTGTTTTGAATTTTAAATAATATGCTTTTATTAATGTTAATTTACATAATACTTTACTAGTAGAGTTCAAACCTTTACAAAGTAATCTTAGAGTAATAATGATTATTATTTTTCAAGTAAAAACTATTATGTAAAACATACATAGCCTCTTAAACTCCAATAGAAAAATAATGTATTACTCCAAGGACCATCGAATTATCTATTACTATCAATTTTGCACAATCTCGGCATACAAAATTGTATAGCAATGTTTCAATTTTAATTCCAGCTTGTCGTTTTGTCTATCCTACTCATAGCTCTATTGAAACCTACAATTGATGAAGCCAATTAATATGTAAGTAATTTGTTTTTAATAG